TTGTGTGGTAGGGGAAGAGGGGGTGGAACGTTTGTTCTGTCTGTTACGGGTAGTGCGAGGAGGGAGAGGGGAAGGTGTTGGGGTTGTAGTGGTGATTGGAGTATCTGTAGTAGAGATTGGAGTGTCTGGATTTAGGATGGCAAAAGAGTTTGACTGGGGAGGGTAGGAGGTAGAAGTAGGGGAGTTAGATGTAGGAGGGGTGGGTTTAGGAGAAGTGTTAGAATGAGCAGTATTACTGGAGTAAGGAGTAAGAGAGAATCCACGTCGACGTGCTTCCTGTCTGGCTTCACGTAGTGTGAGTCCAAGTTTGAATCTGAGAGTTGCTACCTCAGACTCAAATTTGTAGGTGGGACAGCCCCTATAAAATACATTATGGGGGCCGCCACAGTTGGCACATGTGCGTGATTGTGCAGAGCAGTTAGATCGGGTATGGCCAGGTTGGGCACAAAGTGGGCATCTGGCTGTGGAACGGCAATGTTTGGCTGGGTGTCCTAGACGCTAACAATTTTGGCACTGACGTGGAGGTTGGTATGGACGAACAGGGAGGGATTCTCCTCCTATGTAGACGTTAAAGGGAAGGTCATGTCTACGGAAGGTAATTTTGGCTATGTTAGTGGGTTTCTTTCGATGACCTCTGGGGGGAATGGAGTAGCATTGTACTGATGTTGCATCATAGTCTGTGAGACAGGCAAGTAGGTCTTCTCCACAATCTGACCAATCTTTGTCATAGATTGGGCAATTTACTGGGGAGATTGAAACTGTTCCGGTGCAAGTAATGAGGGTTGGATGGGGTTCTGCAAGGATGGGGTTACCATATAGGTCAGTTAGTTTTGTTAATGCTATAGCTTAGTTTTCGGGTCGGGTCAGCTACGGAAAGAGACTTTACCTACTTGTTTTTGGAGGCATTGTTGGAAGAGAAGGGTGTTGTCAGAGTAGGGAGCTGTGGGAGGGATCACGAAAAAACGGTCCCATTTGGCTGCACTAAAGAGGGTATTCAAGATTGTTTTAGAGATAGGGGTAGTAGAAGGGCGAGGGCGTGACGAAGATGGAGTAGTGTTGATGGAGGTAGTGTTATGGAGATGTGGGCAATAAGGCTGTAAGGTATTAATAAGGGAGGATGGGGTGGTTGATGTTGGAGGTTGTGGGGGTAGAGGTGTTGAAGTTGAGCATGTTGGGAGAGTGGAAATGTTCCTTGAGGGTTGATTGTTGGCTACTGTACTAGTAGGCATTGGTGAAGGGGCAGTTATTGCAGTGTTCGGAGCCGTGGTCATAGGAGAGCCTGGGGTCAGGGAATCGGGTGGGTTTACTTCGTTGGGGCTATTTGATAAAGGGGCAAGCCTCATTGTCCCTAATAGTGGGAATATATTTTCATTACTGGCCATGGTAAGCCTGGATTATGTTGGGGATAAAAACAGTCCATCCCTCAGGGTCCCCTTGAGGGGTAAGGGCTAGATAACTAAATCAGGGGAATACCGTGCCCATGGCTCCCTCAGGCCGTTCGGGACTGGCACAAAGTCAGCTTTTCATCCTTTCAGCACGGCTCTCACACCTTAGGAGGTGGATAGCAGAAGGGTTTGGTGAAGGGACAGAAACAAAAGTGGGAAGGAAAAAAAAAAAGACCAGGCATAATTAGTTGAGTCGTGGGCTCAGTCCCAAGGTTGGGGAGTTCCCCATCATTGGGTCCCAGTCTCTGCCTCCTAAGCCCCCCCACGACAACAACGGGCAAGGGATTGGGGGGGGGGGAGGGTTAACGTAGGTGGAGCTGGAGCTGGGGGCTGGGCTGTGTTGGGAGGGAGTAGGAGGAAGTGGTGTAGGGCGAAGCAATATTACTGGAGTAAGGAGTGAGAGAGATACCTCGTCACGTGCTTGCTGTCGGGCTTCACGTAGAGTAAGTCCAAGTCTGAATCGGAGAGTTGCCTCCTCAGACTCAAATTTGTAGGTGGGGCAGTCCCTATAAAATACAGTATGAGGGTTACCACAGTTAGTACATTTGCAGAGTAGTTTGATCGAGTATGACCACGTTGGGCACATAGAGGGCATCTGGCTGTGGAAAGGCAATATTTGGCAGGATGTCAATGCCAACAATTTTGGCACTGATAGAGAAGAGGTTGATATGGTCGGACAGGAAGATATTCTCCACCAATGTAAACATTCAAGGGAAGGTCATGTTTACGAAAAGTAATTCTGGCAATGTTGGCGGGATTCTTATGATGACCTTTGGGAGGAATGGAGTAGCACTGTACTGATATCGCATCATAGTCTGTGAGACAGGCAAGTAAGTCTTCACAATCTGACCAATTTTTGTTATAGATAGGGCAGCTTGCTTGGAGATAGAAACAATTCCAGTGCAAGGATTGAGGGTTGGATGAGGTTCTGCAGGACTGGGGTTGCCAGAGAGATCAGTTATATTTGATAATGAAATGGAGTATGGGGTAATTGATGAAGAAGGTTGTAGGTGATAAAATGTCTCCTGGGAGTTGAGTGTTGATTTGGGTAGATGATGTTCTAGTAGGCATTGAGGAGGGGGTAGTAGTTGTAGTGTTTGGAACCGTAGTCAAAGGAGAGCCTGGGGTCAGAGTATTGGAGTATGAAGGAGCAAGCCTCATTGTCCACAACAACGGGCAAGGGATTGGGGGGGAAGGGATGAAAAAGAAAAAGCAAGAAAGGGAAAAAAAAGACCATGCAAAAGTCTCCCAAAGCATGGGAGATCCCCAGCATTAGATCTTCGTTTCCTGAGCACATCCCCAACGGGCAGGGGATTGGGGGGGATGGGTAAAATAATGCATAAATGAAATGTTACCTTATTTTCTGGTTTTATTAATTTTCTACATAATACATTTTATGGCACCATTGCTTACATTTCTTTTAAATTTCTTTTAACTCCTTTAATCCTTTTAATCCTAGTGCTTTAGTAACTTCAGTTATTAAGTATTTATTGTCCATTTTATTAATTATACCTTTGGCATTATATAACTCAACTAAAACTCACTAGAACCAATATCAGCATATATGTGGCACAACTGATAATGCTTCACTATAATCTCCTTACTCACTGTATTTTTATTCTCCTTGTGAATTTATTATATTCAGACTGTTGTGGTTCACTACACTTCTGCTTCTTCTCTTATATGGCACTGTTGATGCGCCTGTTACAGTCATCCCGGTTATATGACCTCTCTCACGCATAGACTAGAATTTCTATTAAGGAATTACTACACATGAATAAATTTTCCCTACTTTCTGCAACCCATTCACAAGTCTCACCGTGTATTGAGGACTTCCTTCCACACGGGACAAGTACACATTAAATAGAAATAATTTTACAACTTAAAGCTCCCCAAGGATTTTTGTTTCAGCTCAAGCAAAATGGTAAATGGTTACAAAGCACAATAAATGTGCTAGACAGCAAAGGTCATATAGCACTATAGAAAGGTTTAATAGTGAAAAGAGTAAAGAGGGGGGTTAGTTGATGATTAGATGTGCTACACATCAAAGGCCATGGCTCCTGCAAAAAAGAAGCCGGTGGTCCCAGAGCCGCCTGAGGTGCCTAGCTGCCCTTTTCTTTACATTTTATTTGCACTCCCTATTTTTATATCTGCATTGGACTGTTTAACACATTTCTAAGATTCTAAAAGACTGCATATTCTTTGCCAGAGAGCAAGGCAAATGGGTTAGCTTTCTGTCCTCCTGAAAGTGTGCCTAAGTCGAGTCTGGATCAGAATTACACAAAGGAAGGAGAACCCTGGTTTAAAAGAGCATCTAGAAATAGCTGAAAGAAGCTTGCATAGTAAATCTGGAATTTTGATGATGATGATAATAATAATAATAATAAAAAAAAAGGGATTATATATGATCATAAGGTTACATTGTTCATCTTGGTTATGTTATTGTGTATCCTATAAGACTAAACTTAAAAAAGTATTTTGTTTACTTATCCAAATGAAAGATTTCCAATTGAATTACAAAGAATATCTATATTAAATGACTCCTGAGTTTGTGTACGCACACGACTCCATTCCTCCAGCAAAGTGAACATGATTTTTGTGTAGCTCTTAGGAAGTAGAGGAAATTTTATACATAGTGATAATGCCTTCAAAGCGAACATCCCAAAGCATATTTGGCATGTACTCTTACTAGCCTAACTAAAGTACTACTGACAAAATGTTCTGCTTTTCCCTTGCATGTATTTTCTTGTGTTTCACCAGATGATGTTTCCGAGAGAATGCCTTGCTGCATGTCTCACATCTATAAGGTTTCTCTTTTGTATGCACTCTCATGTGGTTCACTAGATAACTTTTTATACCAAATGATTTACCACAAACCTCACACCTAAATGGTTTCTCTGTGCTATGGACCCCCATGTGTACAACTAGATCACACTTCCAAGCAAATGGCTTCCTACATACATCACATACAAATGCCTTCTCTCTTGTGTGCACTCTCATGTGGTCAACCTGATGGTGTTTTTGAGAGAATACCTTGTTGCAAATCTCACAGCTGTAAGGCTTCTCCTGTGTATGTACCCTCATGTGCTGCACCAGATGCTGTTTCTGTGAGAACATCTTGCTGCAGACCTCACAGCTATACGGATTCTCCTTTGTATGTATTCTCAAGTGCTGCGCAAGAGTATATTTCCCAGAAAAAACACTCCCACATGTTTCACAAATATAAGACTTCTCACTTGTATGTACAACTGTCACGTGTTTCATGAGACCACTTTTACTGGAGAAAACCTTAATGCACATCTCACAATTATAAGGCTTCATCCTTCCATGCACTCTCATATGACATAAAAGTTTCGTCTTGCAGTGGAATATTCTGCCACACACCTCACAACCTATGCCCTCCTCCCTTGCATCCACTTTTTCTCCTCCTGCGTACATTGCTTGATCACCATCCGTGAAGCACGCATTCCCACAATCCTCAGCCCTATACGGGCCTGATAATGACAAAGGATCTTCTTCACACAAAGCGTCGCAGTCATTTCGGACCGATTCCTT